CGCAAAATCCGTCTGCTCTCTCCCTCGTTCATCTATTTCACTCGACTCCTGTCACCCCATCTGTACCACTTGAGGCGTTATTTGCCCCCTCCCCTGCGTCTGGGTGACCAATCCGAGACGCAAACCTCTGAGTGTCATGGTCACCCCTTTGCTGCATGTACCACGTCTCTGGTACAACAGACCAACTAGCTCCGGTCCCCGTCGTCTCTATACTGTTTCTATCCCTAATAACAAGTCTATGAGTTGCCATGCCATAGTCTCTTGTGTGCCAACCCACAAATGTTGTGGTACAGCTTGTTTTGATTTGGTTTAATGTTTGACCTTTATTTCTGGCCGATTTGCTGTGATGGCGAGGTTGGTTGAGCAAATGAACAGGACATTGTGACACCTTTTGTGTCATGTCGAACGAGGCAGTCGAGCCAAATGCGTTGATGGAATCCTTCCACATGAACAACACATGCCTCCTCGAGCCCTGACGACGTAGTTGCTTGCCTGCCCTCGAGTCACGGTTGGTTGCGTCGGCATGGAGGCATAGAGACTGCTTCGCCGCCAGCCCATGCTCAGCCATCCAAACAGAGTTGCTCATGTGTCAGTCAAACAAGCGGCTCCATCCACAAGACTGTGCCAGCTCAGTGCGGCTACAGCCTCTTTCCAAAGCCCACCCTCGGAGGGCTCTTTATGGGTTGGTGTAAGAGTGTTCAGCCAAGCGTGAGACGACATACATTCTGTACCATCCAATTGCCACCAGGTCTACTCATGTCCAATAAGATGAGTAGTCTCTGACTATATCCGGCCCAGATTGGATGAGAAACGGAGACAAGTTAGTTCGTTGAAAGTGAGGCAAATGTTGATGCCCGAACGTTCCGATAAGGAAACGAGTAGACGATGCGTTGCAATAACAGTTGACTCGGCCATGCCTTCTGGAAAACTTTCTCATCGACGATGGTCCGCGGTCTCGCCTCGCCTCCAGCACGATTCGACATTGAATTGTGTCACCTGATGCCACTCCACCAGAGGACCATGCGTGTGATGGTGTCATATGGAGAGAGCATTCGACACTTTACGGGCAGGCCCGAGCTCTGCAGAGTGACATTCTCGTCTGGCACTGTTGCTATTTAACACTATTCTCGGCCGCAATACTTTTTACCACATAAGTAGTCTTTTAAGTTGTATGTTAAATTGATTTCCCCTCGGTCGCTTCAGAGGATGTCAGGCGTGAGTCTCTCAGAGTAATGAATAATGAGGCAATCTGCGTGGCAGAAGGATTTCGAGTAAGATAGTAACTATGCTGTTGATGATGAAGTCGTGATGGTGCCGATGATGTTGAGGCTGATGCTGATAGTGATCATGCCGAGTAGTGTTAGTAGTAGAAAAGGGATAAAAAGAAGGAGAAAGAGAGGAAATAAATCGGTCGTAGATGGAGTTTGATGAGGATGATGAGGATGATGATGATGATGTCAAAAATGCTGAATATCAAGTGGCTGAGGTGTTCTTTACGTTGAGTGGGAGGAGGAGGAGGAGGAGGAAGAAGAGGTAGAATAGGAGTGACGGTGAAGTAACTAACTTCCACCGTTTAAGATTGAAAGCTGAATCACCTTCCGCCGGCCGCTGTGAGGGGTCGTTATGACAAAGCATGGTCGTATTCGAATATATATTATGTCTTCCTCTAACACAGGATCGATCACATCCGGATCGCTGGTTCACCAGATTTATAGATTGCCAAGCCGCTGGATCACCGGATCGCCAGCTCAATGAATCGCTGGATCGACTGATCTCATGATCGCCAGATCACTGTTTCGCCGGATGTCCTGATCGCCGGATCACTAGATCGCCTAATGTTCTAATCGCCGAAAGACTGGATCATCCAATCTCCTGATCGTTGGATCAGTGGATCTCCGGATCTTCTGATCATTGGATCAATGGATCGACGGATCTTCTAATCGCCGGAAGATGGGATCACCGGATCACTGGATCGAGGGATCTTCTAATCGCCGTAAAAAAGGATCGCCCGATCTCCTAATTGTCGGATCATTAAATCGCTGAATCTCCTGATCGTCTGAAGACTGAATCGC